CTCTTAGTTTGACTCTCATTCAGTAACTGATAACCTCTYGTCCTCTAAGTCTTCTTTTGGGTCATATTAAGTTACGTAGAAAATATATTTCCCATGTGAGGAGACAAGAAGCAAGCAGAGGAGAGTGGGAGCTCTGCTTGAACAAGCCCCAAAATGCTGCATTGTTTGTGTAAATGTATTTCCTCTTATAACCTACCTGCTTGACACTTCAAGCATGCACACACTTTTGAAGAAACAATATCCAAATTATTTAGTTCCAGAAAAAGGCAATTTCCTGCAAGGTAAAAGCAGCATAAAATGGTGCATAAACCTCAAAAATCATAGGCAAGCATGGAACTTTAATATATATATGTGGTTTCTGCACCTTCTGTTGAAATCTATCCCCATTGAGTGATTTTTACCTTTAGTAAAAATCGAGTTTGGGGCAAGAACTRTAAGATACATACTTGTTTCACCTGAAATCACAAGTATTTTAAATAGATGGAATGTCCAGAGCAGTATTTGATCAACCATCAGAAACATACAAAAGTTTTTTCTAAGCTCCTTAATCCTTAAAATAATTAGTTCTGAAAGTGAAAGTAATAAGCAAAATCCTCATTGTTTTGTTCTGTTTTCTTCCCCAGAAATGCCAAGATTTACACATTTTCATTATCACATTTTTAACAAAATAAAGAATATGCAGTTTTATCTCATTAATTTTTGATTGTTATCTGCTTGTCCATTATATTGAGTTATAATGTTGTTCCCAAGGAATTAAGAGTACTATCTACAGTTACAATTCAGAAATTGTACCTACTACAAAACTACCAAAAGAAGTAGTTCAGCAAGTAGTTTAGTTTGCGTGTAAAAATGCTTGTAATACATGGATGAGATGGCAAATCCAAAAACCTACCTAGGCAATGATTTTGTGTAATGACTTTGCAATTCTAGTTGTAACATAGACAACAAAGAGTTGCATGGAAAGGTCATGCAATGCACARTTGTGATCTACAATTAATCATAAATCCTAGAAGGAAAAATGCCTCTAAATGACACCTAGCTAATGCAATGACACCTAATTAATGCAGTTTTTTGTTACCAATTCTTACTTAGTGCAATTTTGKTGGTCATGAAAACAGAATAAATAATTAAGTAATCAGGATAAAAATAAAAAAAGCTGTATTTAAAATTATTTAACAGTTTCTGAAGGTAAATTCCATGAATTGTGAAACTATTCTTTCTGACTTCAAACACAAATAATTTTATGGGGATAATGCTGGTCTTGCAAAGGAGCAAGATACAAATCAAGTTTAGTAGCAAGTTTCTGTAAAAGAATAAAAAAAAAGATCATCACAGAGAAAACAAAACTGGTATAAACAAAGAGARACTGAAATGTTGTAAACCAAAAGCATTAAAGTGAATATAAACATAAAAGACATTRCATACAGAGTAACACTAGCTGGCTTACACAAATCCTGTGCATTTGCCAAGGAYGTCATAAAACATGGTGTGGGACCAGAGCTGGACAGGTGGCTTCTCCAGTGCTGCTGTGATTTTCCTTTGATGATSTCTCCAAGATGACTGCTTTGGAACCTCACAGTTCTTACCCCCCTGCAGCTTAAAAAAAACTTTCATGACAATGACATCATTATAGGATACTATTTTTAGCATTGAAGTATGTCAAATCAACCTGGTTTTTATCCGTAGGACTGCACCAGTCTAAACTCCCTACCAACATCATCTGTCGAGCACTACAACTGATACTGCTCAAACAGACCCAGGCAGCCTCCAAAAGCCTCTGCCCTGCCTTGGCAACCCTATAACATCCAAACCCACCCCATGGCTGCTGCTCGTCACCTCTGCAGAGTGGGGAAAAGGCACCGCAGGGAGCCACCACTGTGGGTRTGTGCTAAGCTGATCAGCCAAATACAGGATTTTAAGTCTACTCCATGATTCAGCATCATTAAATAAGGGCTTAGCAGGTGAACAGAGAGCAGGAGAGCAAGAGGTCACAAACGTGGGCATGACAATGCGCTGTGGTGGGACCAGTGAGGCGCCTGCATTTGCTCTTCCTCTGAACATCTCCCCAACAGCCAAGAAGCAAAGGCACAGGCAAGCCCTAACTTCACAAACATTTTATACCTATAGATCCCAAAGACACTCAGTGGTTTGAATTTCATTAAAAGACTTCCATTAAACAAGCTTAGCAACCTTCTCTTTGAATTGTTTCTAAAAGCAGCTACTCACCTATCAGCAAACCTTGCCTTCTGCAGCTACAAGGCTGCAGGAATGATTCTGTGCCTTGTATACAAGATATGTTTTATACAGAAGATCATAAATGCACATTTCAAAAAGATATATGGCTATTTTTGGGTAAAATATAATTTTTTTCATGCTTTGACACAATGAAAAATTTAACCTGATTCATATATCCAGAAATCTAAACTCCAGTCATTTAATGGTAAAATATCCAGKGTTTGATTTGTTTGTACACTTTCAGTGACTAAAAGAGCTAACTCATCAATGAAAAAGAAAAATAAGAAAAATAATCTGCATAAATGTTTACTTTTCCAGGTGTTAAAAGAACCAGAAGATTGAATACTGCAACATGATAGCAGCCTGCCAACCCAGTGAAATGATCAGTACCTTTTACTAAATTTCAAGCACTGCTAAAGTTAATTTCTGAGTTGATGAAAAAGCTCCTTCAGAACAGGAAAAAGTCGGCTTCAACCTGTCAGAAATACTATTTAATTGTAAAAAAGCGCATTCAACTTGAAGTAACTTCTCTGCAGGCAGGCAGGCAGGCAGGCAGGCAGCCCTGTAATCCTGAATCGAATCAACTGCCTTTTTGAAGAATTGCATTCACAAACCAACTCCCCCCCCCACCCCATTTAGAATTTCTTTAATGGTTCCTTCAGAATCCAGTACTGATTTTTAAAAAATCCTCAAAATGCTAGAGAAAAACAGTACAATTTTTATAAGGTTACTTTCTACTGAGCTCATGTAGTCACTCAACATARGCAGTAAACCTCTTCCCAACCAGATCTAAACAAAATCATTTTCCTCTTCACTTTGTTACCATGGTAACTCTGGGCTGTGGGGTCAGGGGAAAAGCCAACTGCCTTTCTATTTCAGCAGCTGGTGTTTGCTAGGAGGGCGTGCCCAGAGTTCTGTACTGTGTAAATGAATGTGTGTCCTKTGCTTCTGGGCAGGAGCCCGAGCTGCCTGGTCTCTGCTTAGAGATTTTCCAGAGAAACATGAGGAGAGAAACAAGTTCTAGTAGTGAACACTCTTGGTAGGATGATAGGATCCTTCAGGAGGCATCCAATCCAACCTGCTGCCCAAAGCCACAAGATCAGGGCTTTGGCCAAGAAAAGCTCCAAGGATGGGAACAGCACAACCTGCGAGAGCAACCTTCTCCACTGTTTGACTTCTCAAGGTGAGAAAGTTTTCTGAGTTTTCATTCTGAGCTTCTCGTTTGAATCTATGCCTGTATCTCTCTTCCTCCCACCATGCACCGCTGTGAAGAGCCCATGTGCCTTCTCCATACCCCACCCATGGTGGGACACCCCCCATCCAGCCTCTCATGGCTGTGCAGGTGCAGCTACAGCTCCCTCTCAGGAACTGTAACAGGAGAAGCAAGAAGGTGTGTGGAAATACATCTCTGGATGATTTCCAAAGCCACAAAACTGTGGAAACAACTTCCTTCTTAAAATCTGTGAAAACTTCAAAAGTGGGGCTCAAAAGGCACCCAGCACCTGAGAGAGCAAAGCTTCCATTAGTTTGAGCTGAGCACCATGAAGGGGTTCACTGAAAAATCTCCAGACCTTATTCTTCTGATCTCTGGACTTGCTGCTTTCAAAGAACTTGTTCATTTAAAGAGCGTAAGTCATTCCCTCCCCTTCTTTCTGCCTCATGACACCATGACTCAGACTGGTTACCCAAATGACAGCATTCCAACCTGGGAGACACTGGGAGAGGCACAAATGAACACATATAAATGCTCCATGCAGGAAGCTAGCAGAACTGATCAATAGTCAGTCATTACAAAACACTGGGATGAAAATTGAAAATAAACTAATTGAGCCTAAACTATCTGAATTTATGCASACATAAGAGCATTCAGAGGTTTTGCTGGATGAAATGTCCATGTCATGTAGCACCATATCCAGGAGTGGGTGATTAAGGTGAGAGATGTGGGTGATTATGCAAATAGAATTATACTACTCATCAGCCATCTAGAGGTTAGAGRTTTAAGAGTTTTCTACCCACCATGCTCAGGGATCTTGATGGATTTGCCTTTTGTGACCTCTCCAATGATTTTTGAACCCATGATATGCATAGTGATCTGTTAAAATGAGCTCCACAATTTATTTATGACATATGCAGAAGAAAACTTCATTTATTTTAAGCTRCTGCATGATGGCTACCCTGGGTGTTCTGTAACTCCCGCTTGACAAAATCCAGCAGATTCCAGTCTCCTAATTACTTTTGAATCATTCAAAAATTTTTATGGGTCTCATCCCTCTTTCTGAGTCATCTCCCTCCTAAGGTAAACAAGTTGCACTTACACATCTGCCATTCTCTGTCTCTCATATTTTTTGTTACCACTCTTTGTATCTCATATTTGAGACAAGGAATTCAGSCATGTGCACACACAGTACAGATAAGCTACAGGATTTTTACAAGGGCATCATAAAATGTTGTCTATTTATTTCCTGTTGTTTTCTAACGTTGTGGTTGCCATTAAAWTCCAAAGAATATAGAACAGACTCCACAATTTTGACCTCAAAATTGCAACGACTGAGAAAACAGAGCTGTTTTCTTAGCCTGAAATCTGGAACACAGTGCACATCTACTCTGAAGAAAATAGAAGGAAAATCCAGAAAATGCTAATGACGTGATCTGATCACAGGAGTTGTAAAGTTAGTTACTTTACAAGTTTGACAGRAAACCTGCTCAGTTTGGATCAGTAACGACTTTAGAAAATCACAACACRAAAGCCTGCACACAGATTTAATATAAATGTGCTTTATTGCAGAGAAGTTACATTATTTACATGCTGCAACACATTACAACATAAATCTATCAAGTATTTCATGGTGGATGCTGTTGGTTGCCAGATAACATTGTCATAAGAACCACATTATAAAGTGAAGAGACTTACAGCTTTATATACTCTACAACTTGGAGTAGCTAAAATTTCAAAAGTCAAAGGCAGTGTTTGCTCAGGCCTGCCTGTTGTCATATGCATGCAAAAGCCTAAGGAGAGCAAATATAAAYGTCTTGTCCGGTTTCAGGTCTATGATGCCACCAAAGCTGATGAGAAGTGTGTACTGATTTATAGTTTAAAGCGCATAATCTTGCATAAATTATACAACTCTAATAAGATTGGTATAAATCTAATCATTTATAAACCATGGCTTAGAAATAAAGGAGAAATGCAGCTTGCACATGCATTAGAAGGACAACCTAGCAAATGTTTGTGACCTTCATGTTTACTGTCTTTTCTGTTAACAGATCTGCTAGAAAACATCTTTATAACATCTTTACTTTAGAGTTGCACTTCTCTTGGCTGAACAATGACAATGAAATTCCAGAAAAAGACATCTAAGCAATCTAGTCAATATATGCTGGTGGAGAAAAACCTATGAAATACAGAACATTATTTATGTCTAACTTAGTATGTCTTCATTAAGCAATGCTTCTAGCAGCATCATAGTGAAATAGAATAGTTGAGTGAAGTTTGGCCCCTCATTTTCTTAAATGTGAAACAATTTAAGTCCCAATTGAATCTGCAGCCCAAAGATCAAACGCTTAATAAACTGGGGAAAGCTCTGTTKTCTTCAAAAGAAAAGTTCTCCAACTGTGTCAGTCTTAGGGGATGTGACTACAACGAGCCTAAAGAACCATAACAGACAGTTTATAAGAAGTGAGGGAAAGGGTCAGGATGAAAGAAATCTAAATCAAATGAGAATATACAAGCCAATGCCTTCCCTGGTAAACCAGTCATCACTTTTTGCTTGCTCTGCAGCTGGTCTGTTTTATGCCAGCCAATGAGTGGGTTTTGTTTCTGTGTTTCTAATGAAGTTATCTTTTAGAAAAGAAAGAAAGGGAAAAGAAACGGAGCAAGTATTGATACACAGCGGTGGCACAGACACAATCATGCATGGAGGGCTTGATCCTGCCAGGAATGCAAGGGGCAGTGGTACTGTGCAGACACTTGGCCGATGTGGATCTCTCATCCCTGGTGCACACTGTGCCCCTACAGAGCTCCTGCAGAGCAGGGCATGGGCAGTGTGGCCTTGCTCAGCTCCCAGGTAAAGGATGGAGGGACAGATGAGCAAGGGCACGAGGGCTGGTGCCTGCTCCTTGCAACCATCAGTCTCCAAGAGGCAGTGAGTGCATACAATATCTCCTTCCATGATCCCTCCATGGATGCCCACTTCTACCCTCACAGTCGGGATCCCGTGAGTGAGTCAGGGCAGCCTGCCATAAACTGTCCCACCAGCCCCAATCCCAAAAATCACTGCTGAGACTGCAGAACTTCCCTTCAAGGGTGAGAGAGATGCAAGGTAGTCACCATTTCAGCACGTTTAAAATTGTGTATTTCTCTGCTCCTGGAGAATTGCCAGAAAGCTCTGTTCCTAGGACAGACTTCTTCCCATAGAAATACAGTTACTTTCTCTCAGAAACCTGATCAAGTCCCCCTGAAGCTGACAGACAAGTTACAGACAAATCCCAYGAGTGTCTGGGACTGGGAAGGGAGAATCTGAGCACACAGATCTAATCTCARCTCTTTTCCACACTAAGGACAGAGCTGGATTTGGGCTGCACAAAGTGTGATGTCCAAAGCACCCAGACTCGTATGCCTGACTCCCTTTCATGGGTGGAAGAGTCAGACAAGGCCAGGKTAACAGAGACCTAAGTCAGCACGTCCCCATGGTGGAAATGAGCACTGTCCTGGATAACCAGGTTGGCTGGGGCAGTTTAGCCACTTAATCTGGAGCTAATGAGCAGAATTTGTGAGGTAACATGTTTGGAGAGCACCAAGACCTGAGTCAACTTGTCCCCAGCTGGCTCAGGTGTTGGCACATTCCAGGTTTGGGCTTAGCAGCGGCAGTAGGAAAATCAGATCCATCTTGACCTGTCAGTCTAGACATGCCCACAGACTCCTCTCCTTTTTAAAGGACAGAAGAGGTCCTCCCCAAGCCCAGGCTGTCCAAGTCCCTCTGCTCATTGCATTTTATCTTAAGCCACTTTTTTATGATGCCACAAAAAATCAGTTTTACTACATACGTGTATGTGCATGTGTGTATTAGATATGACATTTATATATATATATTAAACATATATAAATATCTATTTTTATATATATTATATATATATTAAACAACACATTCTATTCAGTCATCCTCCTTTCATGTTCTTCCACTGAATCCCATCACTTCTCTCAAATTGCACMAGTTCTTTAGGACTGTCTGTTTTGGAGTACACATAGTATAGCCAATTCCTGTGAACAGCACTTTACTGGTACTGCATTGAGATGGCTGGGGCTGATTCCTTACTACTGATTCTCCTCAGAATCTTCAAAAAACGTCCTCAGGCCCTGATGGTGAACTGTCACTGAGACTCACAGTTGTGAATGGGCCACCTATGAATTAAGCTCATATGCACAATGAGGACTGTAGCTATTGCTGAAAAGTAGCACTGTATCAAACACTGACTTTTACTGTAAATGTACATATAAATTTTAAAAAAGTCAAAGCATTTTGGAGAGCTGGAGAGAGATGCCATCATTTCTGTTCCCAGTATCTCTTACATTTGCATATATGGGGGAAGAGTAATATTTTGGACTTCTCACTCCAAGGGCCAATCTTTGAGGTTTGCCAACAGGGATAAACAGTACAGTGTTGTTTCATGTATGCTAACTAATATATTTGCCAGAGCTGTCTGGTTTTAGTAGAACAGGTGATAATTTCTGGGGTATATTCATTGTCATTCTTACTTGAACAGGATAGGTTCAGTAGGAAATACTGAACAAGATCATCACCATCAATGTTTAAAGTAGGATTTCTGGTTTCTTAAATATTTTCCAGTCAGTAACAAAAACCCAAATAAATTGTCCTAAGACTTACCAGAATATGCAGCTAAGATGACTGAATTGCTGCTATTAACAAAGTCTATGAGCATTAACAGGGAAGTGCATAACTTACTGCATATAAAACCCCTGAATAGTACAGTATCAAACTATAAATTTAAATAACAGGGAGTAAACAAAACAAAAAAAATCACTATATAAATACATGAAAGGAAAAGAAAAAATCTCCACAGCTCAAAAGAATTTCCCAGTATGAATTACGGCTTCCATAGCCAGTGAAAGATTACTGCCTGCAATTACATATATAAACAGAAATGTCTACAGCAGGTATTTCAACTTGCAATTAGAAGACACTATCTGCAGGTTGCATAAATATGTTGTTGTGTCATATAATATCAAAGTTATTTGCAAAAATTATACAATCTGGAATGCTTTAATATGAGACACAACAATTTACTTGAACACACATTAATAAGAAAATGCGAACAATCATTTTATAAAATATTTTTGGGATACATGGAGTTAGCAGTGCTGTTTAGATTAAATACATAAAGTGAAAAGTCGTCATTTTAATAAGCTGCTCATTGATACCCCTTTTTGCCATCAGGACACTTTCTGTGCCCTACTTCTGCTGGATCTTTAAAGTCCCAAGGGCAAGGTACAGCCAGTTACGGCATCCAGAAATAATTTGGTTAAGATCGACACTGTGCGTTTGTTACCATCTTACTATTTTTTTCTTTTGAAAGAGAATTGATTTCACAAAGGCAGATTTCTTTCACTGACACAGTAAAATCCTTGGAGCAGGGACCATATTCTGGGCACTGCTAATCACATTGTTGGCACTCAACATATAAATAATAACAACATTAATGATAATTTACTTCACTTAACTCCTACTTATTTGTAGTGCTGATTCCCTTGATTTAAGTGATGCTCCTTAGGAATTTTCAGATGGTTTTCGCCTAAGTCTTCTCTGTCTTTCCTGCTGTCTTTCTTCTCAATGTTGCTACTCTCCTCAGTCCAAAAGCCTCTTATTTTCGAGGTGCTGCTGTTTTATTTGCACTTATAGCAGAGGTGTTCAATAAAGCTACACTTCTTTCTGCATTTGGTAAATCTGCTGTATCATACTCCCAAGGGCAGACTTCAGCTCGAGATGCTAAAGGTTGTTGTAAGTAACTACTTGGCTTATGGGAGTTGGATGAAAGCACATTTCCCTCAGAAGAGGCATTTTTTTTCTGTTCTGCCAATTTATTGAGGTTTTCCTTTTCTGCTCTTTTCTGGGGCAGCTCCTCCCGCTCCCCAGCATAGGTATTAGATGTATACCTATGAATATTCTCACACTTCTGCCCAGGAGAGACCTGGGACTTGGAATTTGACTGGTTTTTCTCATTTTCAAAGATCTGCTGCTCTTGTGTCTCCTGAGTGGCTGCTTCCACCTTCTCTGAACTCTTTTGATTTGACTGTTGGTGCCCCTCAGGTGTCTTCAGCTTGTGATGAGTCTTCCCCTTTGGCTGCGAAGGGTGGTTTTTCTCTGGCTCTGAGGAAGCAATAGACACATGTTTTTGAGCTTTAGAGTCAAAAGGCACAGGACCAGGAATTTGGTCATATATCTCCCAAGGACAAACTTCTCCTATGTCGAAATTGTCCTTGTGCTGAGACTTACCTGGGCCTGTGTCTGTGTTTGCAGGTGTTTGACTAACCCTTTGCTGTTTCATAATTCCAGATTTATGGGTTTTCTTTGTTTCCTCAGAGTGGGTAGAGTTTTTCCGCTGGGAATCCTTATGTTCCCCTTTATCGGAGGCGGAGTGCTTTTTGCTGGCCTCCTTACCCTTCTGCTGAGGTTTATGAGATTTAGTGCTTTCTTCTAGACTTTGTGTTTTACCCGTGAGTCCCAGAGTCTTTTCCTTGGCACTGGCAATAACACTGAGGGATTTTTGTAACACGGATGTTCTTGGATGCAGAGGCTTCTTATCGGCACTTAAGTTATGTGCACTCACTGATTTGCACACCAAAGGGACCGATTCAGTGGAGACAGCTTCAACCATTTCAGGAGCATTTTTGGTTAATTTGTTACCATCCAAGGAGTCCAGAAGCATTTTCTCAGAAGGTATAACTTCTGCACTTTCTGTAGTTAAGCCATTTGGTTCTTCTGTTTGATCCCTAACATGATCATAAGTGCTGTGGGACTTCTTTAAGGAAAATACTCTATTTTTCAAAGTCTCTTCTTTTGGCTTTGCAGAACTTGTAGAATCTGGTGTGTTTTTCTTCAGAGTGGCCAAATTCTTCACAGCACTGTGCTCCATCAGGTCCTTCTCATCCCTGGAGCACTGCCTGGTGACTGTCTCAGGGATTTCTGTAATACGCCGCATTATCGAGCGCCCCAAGCCCTTCTTTGAGCACCTTTTTTTCTGGAGATGTGGATTATTAGCAATCATCTTTTTCCTTTTATAGATTTCAAGCTGAGCATACAGTTTCTTCAACTCATCCTGCAAAGCAAAGTGAATGGCAAAACTAGTATGTACACAGTGCGTACATTCAAACAARCAGCCTGATGAATGCAAGACCTATTGCTCTAAAAAGGGCATTAAACTCCTTTCACTGWCTTTTCTAGTTCTTGAATACACCATTTTCATCAACTTGAATCCCATTTTTTTCCACTTTAAATAAAAGTTCAACCCTCGTGCACAAAYATGTTACTTTTTGCAGCATGCACAATTCATATTCATTTATGCTGTTTCAGATTTCAAAATTCTGCTGAACTCTATAGCTAGTTTTGTTCTCAGAACATAAAGTCTTTAATCATGTAAAATAAGAATAAAGCAGTTTTCTCCATTAATCACTAATCTTTATAGTTATGTATGCTTATGTATATGTTACATACAAATGACTAATTACACTGAACCCAAAAGCTGTTTGCACTTCAAGATAATTCAAAGAACCTATGTCAACTGAATAACAGCTCTTGCTGAGGAGGATTCCTCCTCCTTAGCCACCACTATGACTTTTACTCCAACTAGTAATGCAGCATCTCTTCACATGAGTAAATACTTTCCATGAGAGTATAAATGACCTGATATCACAGTCATAAAACATCTAAGCTGGCATTTTTCAGCTGATATCTGCAAAGAAAAACATATGCACACCAAACTGGAATTTTCTTGTAAGAGAAAGTGTTCTTGAAAATGAACACTATTTAAATGAATTCTATGTACCCGAATATCTTCAGGATCCAAACTGTGTTCGCTCCAGGCTGAGTTGATACTGCTGTTCAGATAGGATCCRGACCGACCCATATCAAGCTCATCTTCATAAGCTTCTGTAGCTATATCATCTCTTGGGTTATTGCTTGAATGTGAAAACTGCAATAARTATTCACAAAAAATACGTTGCCATGAGTGCAAAAGTTTGCTTCAACATCACTGTAATAGCTTACAACAGTTTTTATGGTTCAATGACCCTTCTATTGACTTGATGTGATTCTCAAACTCAAAACATTAAAACATTACTGTAAGCTTCATTGGTTTAAGTAGTGTCCTATGGAGTCTCAGTATTGTATGGAAGGAACTCTTATTAATAATGGCTTAACTTGATAAATCTTAGAGATTCACAYAAGTACAAAACATTCCTACTTATTTTGATACTTATTTGAACCTCCTTAAATAGCATTTTAATTAAGCTGGCATGAAAATACACTTTCAGACAGTATTTCCAATTAGGCTGTGAAAACGGTAAGACACTATTTTATACTACATACATCTTAATAATCCTGAAGAAAGCAATTCCTCTATTTTAGATCCTTATCCTGAAAAGGAAGACATAAGGTAGAAAGAAAAACAAAAAAGAGGAGAAAAACAAAAAGAAAGTATTGAAAAAGTTTTTTTTTTTTCTCTTCTATATTTAAGCAAATCCTTGAATCAGGAGTTGGATTGAGGTTGTCATTATTACTTTGTTCATACAATTCACTCATCTGTAGTTACTATTGTCCACATAGTCATCTGTCTTCAGGTCTTTATGAACAGAACTAAACCTTGTGAATCTTAATTATCTGAATTCTTTGGTGTGTTGGAAGAAAAGTCTGCGCAGTGTTATACAGATAATAAACTAAAAATGAAAATGTTGATTAGTAGTTATGAGTCAGCTTCAGAAAGGTCAACAAATTTTCTAGGCTAGTTTGGAAAGACTCCCATGAAGATATGTAATAAAGTACATGAATATAAAATAGAAAATACAAGACTGTTGCTAAAGACCAGAAAAGTAATTTAAAACAGAACAAGGWTATGCAGTATTAAGGCTGCCCTTATTATGATTGCTCAATGTACGTATATTTGACAGTTATCAGCGTACACTGTTCTGGCACACAGGAAAAGAGGAACAGCAGCTCCATTAACCTGAAAATTCTATCAACTCAACTGCTTAATGCTCTTTCTTGATATGCAGCATTCACCTTTACTGCTTTTGATTAATAGTCATTTAAAAAGCCATTAGAAAATCATTCCTTTTGCTGGGGTACTGTCTTAAGAAGGAAGTTCCACTCCKCTCCTGGGGACTGTTGCTAGGACAGGAGCCACCTGCAGCTCTCCTGCCCCTGGTGAGAGGACACCAGGGCTTTGCTCCCAGCACCCAACAGATGTGTCCCAGCTGCAGCTCAGGGGCTTTCCCTGCTCTCCCTGACTCCTGCCATCCCCATCTACTTGTGCCCCACACACCAATCCTGGCACCCAGCACCGCTCCTGGCACTGTGTCACGGGTGTTTCTACTCCCAGGGTGCAGAATCTGTCTGTCCCAGCCTCTGGTGGCAAAGGGTTCTCCTTTCTCAGCCTGYAGCTTCCTGCTTTAAATCCCTGCCTCTCTATCCCATGGCTACTCCAGCCTCCTGATTATAGTGTTTAATGCCCTTGCCTAAACTCTTTGTCTGATCTCTGCTAACTCTGGCAGCAGCACAGTCACACAAATACCTGGAGAAAAAGCATAGTTAGGTCCTATTCTTTCCTTCTTCCTAGGAAAGAATTCTTTCCTTCTTGCATTAATCAAATCAAAATTTTAAGTACTTTAAACTCCTGGAATTTTGAAAGCTAAAAGAAAGAATCTTTCTGAAAATAAATACTTTTTCAAAATAAAAAAATACAGGTTGTAAAGTAAAATAGCCAAATTTTACATTCTCCTTTTCTATCAGTTGCTTGTTAGCTTTATACAGAATTGCTTCTGCACAACAACGTTTCTCTTCTTGAGTCTTAGCAAAAGAAAAGAGACAGAAAACTCAAATACCTTAGGGATCAGAAGTAGCCCAACAGTGACTGTCACAGTCAAATGTGTGTGTGCAAAGAACAGCATCAGCATCCAGTCAGACTGAAGTCTTGAAGCAAGAATGAATCTGAAAATAGAATTCAGGGTTGCAATTCACTGCATTTCTCCAGTGCATTAGATTTAATATCTTTAATGATCCTTAGGTTTCTTTTCATTGAATGGCCAAACACAACTGGTTTTGTTCTGTACTGTTTTCACACAGACTAAAAATTACATCCATATGCTTTCCCTATTTGCTACAATTTCAAAACAACTCTGAAAAAAAATCAACAAACCAAAATATATAAAGAAACAACAGACCTTAAATTATACTGCGTATTCCATATTTCCCACTCTACTGAGCTGTCTTTTTGTTTTTGCTTATATTGTCACAGTTTCTTTGGCCTGAGTTATGGCAGCTTACATACATTAAGGATCTGAAGCGATGATTTTAGGTTAAGTAAGCACATGTGCTATGATGAATTGCAGTGCMCTTCATAAACACAGGATGTCCACAGATTGCAGCTACTGAGTTCAGCTGATAAGCCATCCAAGGGAGAACTGAACTGAAAAGCATTTCAGCAGGGAGCAGGGAAATGCTCTTTATTGCAGGACCGCCCAGCTCGCCCAAGAGCCTGTGAATGCTCGGAAATGAGTGGCTGAACTTCTCCAGCAAAACAGTTCCTTGCTGAGCTTTCTAAAGGAGTGGTAGAACAAGCGGTGCAGTTAAAGCTGAGCATGCTTGGCTTGCCTGCTTTAGTGARCTCCCAAAGATAGAAGCAGTAAGCAATGCAATGGATGAACGGATGTACCRCTGGCTTGCAATTTACAGGTTTACAAAAATCATTCAGATAGAAATGACATTWGCAACTTATCCAAGTTCACAGATGCACATTTTGAAGAAGCTTTTGTTAACAGAAAKAGTCTGGCATGAAACACTGGCTTACATGCTGCAATAATATAGTCATAATTACTTGTTTAATACTTTGTAAATTAAATGTTTYATGAACACAATAAAATATTCCAATYAATTATTTCTTAGAGMGATGTTGCTTTGGGGCACGTGGGAATATGAGGAGGCTCAGGCCTGAAATTTAGCATACTGAACACAACTGAACTGATGAAGATGACATGAAAAATTGACGGGTTTCTGAACGGGGAAACTGACATGAGAAACTAACAAATAACAGAGCAAAAAGTGAACAGAAGTTACAGAGAATGCTGTAAGGGATGGCAAGATTTCACAGGTGGTTAATAGGGAGTCATTTGAAAGATGGCCAAACTTCACAGGTAATTGAAGGACCTTTGAGGGAGCAGAACTTGCAAGGACAGTGGCATGATGGAACCATATCAGCRGTTAAGACTGTGATTACCTAGCTAATGGTATCATAAATGACAAATTTGAGTACAGATGCAACAAACTGTGACCAATAGGAAAAAAATAATGAGGGTGGGTTGTTTATTTGGGAAAAAAMCAAGGACTGATAGGGGATAAAGCAGATGGGGGAAAAACAAGGAAGGGGGGAAGCAAGGGGCATAAAATGGATGCTGACAGGGAAGCAAGTTGTCACTACGCCCTGTGCCTGAAGTATCTCCTATCTTCCCATTAAATCCTTCTAACGTGTGTGAGATCACCCTCTCCATGGTGCACGACTGTGTATGTGTAATTGATGAGCAAACCTCGGGCAGCACATGGGTGACATGCCCTGGGAATGCCCAGGGTCTCAGCCCAGACCCAGCTGCAGAGGAGGAGCAGGACCAGGCTGGGAGTGCTGGACCTGTGCTGCTCCCTGTGCCAGGTGCTGTGTGGGACTCCACAGACATGGATTTGCTCAACCTGCAATTGGAACCAGCAGCAGCCAGATCCATCAGACAGACAAGAGAAAGCAGCCACATCCTGATGGACACTGGATYGGGTAAACCTTTTAACAGATCCAATCCTCAAATTCTGTGAAGGCTTTTTTGCCTGTTTTATGCTCGAGACTTCCATTAAGGTATGCATGACATACGATGTCCTCAAGCACAATCACACTTGCAGTAGCCATTCAGCCCTAGCAAAGATGGGATTTCTATTTGAATGAGATTTTTTCCATATAAATTTTGKGTTTCTCAGTAATTTAAGAGAAAGAGAAATGCAGGAATTTGTTATTAYGCTGATCTGAACATAATCCAGAATCCTCTGCTTCTGAAATGGGAATACTTTCAAAGGAAAACAAGATGCAAACAGTTCAAGGTTTTACGCAGTGCTCACATCAATCTTCTCTGAGCTTTGGGAGTTTTCAAACTGGATGGCTGCCTTGGTGTCCTTCAAGGTTCCAGTACTTTCAACTTCATGACAATTCAGATATGTCATATAAATCTAAGTTTTATGTTTCTGCCCTTTCAGTTGTATCCTGAATTTGGCAGGGAAGATGGAAGCAAAAAAAAAAAAAAAAAGTAAGGAAATGGATTAAGAGCTGTGCATGCAGAAATGGACATAGTTTGAGGAGGGATTGTGTGCATTTTACTCAACCTTATCTATGAACACCACATGATATTTCTTCCACCTATCAGCACATATCAGGCAGATGCCAAGGAATCAATACAAAAAGCACATTAAAAAAAGAAAGAAAATAAGGAAGAGTAAGATCAGCAGACCTAAGGCTGCAGGCACGGGATCGTCAATAAAACAAACTGAAAGACTTAATCCCTTTGTGTCTCCTTCATAAGGCATGTATTAAAATGCCGTATTTTCCTCTTTCCCCCTCTCTTTCATCCAAGATTACATGTCTCCTGTTGTATTGTTACAAGAACCTTGCAGCCCACAAAATAGCTCTGAACTGTGTCTTCTAACATGGCTCAACACACAGTTTAGGAATATGAATTAATGAGGAAAAATTGAATGAGATGCTGTCATATTGGTTAAAATAAATTCARAAGTATTGTAAGTGATTTTTACATCTATCAGGAATGAAAAGAAAAAAAGCTTCYGTCAAAAAGAGATTTTAAACAATAACTTTGCAGATGTCTGTTTTAGGGAGTATAGATTTTGAGAATATGTGGATGGTGAGATACAGGGTTAGGAGAAGGTGAACAAGAAAAAATTGCAAGCCTGAAAAATGCAGCAAACCGCATAACAATGTTAAGAGAAAAGAGCACCAGGAAGGAACAGAGATGAATGATTTGCTCTGTTGATGTTTACTCAGAAAAAAACATGAAAGCAAGCATCAAGAAGACAGGGAGAAATGTTAGTACCAGACAGACCCAGGAACAGAGAAGAGTATTTGAAGACTGTCAATGAAGGAATGTAAAAAAAAAATCTTAGTAGATAAGGTCTGTTAGGAGGCAAAAGAAAGTGTGAGAATGTCTGAAGAAAGTCTTAAAGAGTTTTTACAGGATGGGATGAAACTCATGTTATCTTGCTCTYTTGCATTTTCAAGGACCAATTCATTTTTACACGGTAGGAAAGGCAGATTCAGTAATTTTCATGTAGCTCTAGAAAAAAACCCTTCTTTATTTGTTACTACCCAAATGATTTACAAGCATGAAATGTAGAGCTCATTACAGCCTTCATAAGAAACATGGGCTTGATATTACTAATACAGCATCATATACATTTCTTAATGTCAGCATATAAAACACTGTGCTTCATGCCCAAACCAGTACAATATCTAACATACAGCTGCAGCTCACCAGTCTGTTACACACCAGCAAAGGTTCATACAAACCAACACTCTTACCTGCTGTTTTTCTAGGTATGCAAAACAGTGAGCAGTGCGTAGATGACTGAAGACAGACAGTCATTTTGCTATACCTAATTTAACATATATACTGAACTTTGATCCAAGAAAGTATCACTTAACAATACTGAGAAAGACCCCTAATTATACAAYTTCATATTCTTGAATCCCCTGGGAACAGTTTTCAGTTTAGTAATCACTTAATTTGCAGAAACAAATATTTATAAGACCTTTCATTATGCATCCTATCCCATTCACCCATTTTAAGTTACACCATATGAAACCTGAAAGATAAATGGTTAATTACTAGATCTACAGATCACTTGCCTAATTGTATGGAATATAGCAGAGATAATGAGCTCATTGTGAACTGCAACAGCCATATAACGTGGCTCATGAAATGCTGATGGGACTGTCCGCACTGCATAGCAGAGATAAACACCCCACAAGAGGAATAAAAATTCAGCTGTGAGAAGAACAAAAAGAAATAATTTGCAATTAGTTTTATAGATGGAAGAAAATTTGAAGCACTACAGTATCTTCTGTATGTGTGAGTATCTAYGCAAAGACAATACACATATATATATATGTACACACATAGGCATTCAGGCTTTTTGGATACTGTACATGCTACATTTGGTTTACATTTTACACACCTTTTTCCAGATCAGGAACCTTTACATTCATRGTGTTTCAGACTTTCAATGATGAACTTTGAGATAATGTCTAAAAATAGCTTACTTGCTTTTATAATTGGTACTAAGTAAGAAGTTTGACAYCACTTCAAGTAACAAATATTTTTAATTGTAGCTCTGGTTCATGGTTGAGAGGCAGATATGGTGCTACTACCGGACTGTACGCTTTTAAAGACAACACTTTCATTTCAAAGGTTTATAACTTAGATATAAAAATATACTTTGTGTTAAAAAAATTCCTCCGTTCATGATAATTAATTCTGCTGGTACCCATAATGTGAGTCACTCCTGAGGATCTAATATAATTACAACAAATGATGTGTTTCTGTTAGCAGAAAAATGAGTAAAGGAAGAAAGGAAAAGAAGTAAAGAGTCAGGCTCAGCCTAATCTATTCAGTTAGAGCTAACTCATTTGCACCCAGCAGTATGCTGACTTCAGTTTCCAGTGGACAGTCTGATGTGACATCATTTTGATCTTGATACGAATGAAGTTATTTCCTACCCATATTGAAAAAATTCCCAGAAAAAAACCCCTGCAGCTCTGCCACGTAGTCATGAATGGAGCTGGTGTAGGTCCCTCTTGCCTTGCAGTCAGGGTTGACAATGGCTGAAGTGTTTGAGTGTCACCAGCAATGTGCAGTTCCATGTTAGACTCCTGCAATGCCAGCACAGCTCCAGACCTGCTTCGGAAACTGAGTGTGACCCCATTGCTACTCATGCACTGCTTTTTCCTTGTTGAATTTTTGCCCTAAAAACTACAATTAAATGCAGTATAATAGAAAATTAATTATTTTTCAGACTTATTTTTGCCAATAGTTTTTCTGTACTGTAACCAAACCCAGCGATCAGTGGCACTACCCTATGGAAGTGATCAGCAAATAATTCTGGGTCAGGTTTTGGTAAGGACACAAATGTTTGTGAACCCCACCATTTGTAACAGACTGAAATATAATATCAGTGCTGGATACCTCATTAGTACAGGTCCTCTGGTTTCTCTSCTTTTAGTAGTCCATGACTGCTGTAATTCGCCTATATTACATTGTTATATCGTCTTGAAACTTCAAAGTTTGCTATTAATTTCTAAAATCRGTAAGTGACAAGTCTGGATAAAATTAATTCAGTTACACAGATCTCTCTGTGCTATGATCAGAGTTCAATTTGAACTCTGAATAACACTTTGCCTGTTTCTTAATGAAAAATAGATGTCCCAGTTCCAAGATCATAACCTTTACTAGAACACATCTTTCACAGACCCAGCAGCCTTACCAGTTATATAAACCCAAACATCAGATGGRATATAATCTATTCATACTTCAAAACTGCTGGTTTTGTGTTCCTCCTCATCAAATCCTAACAATAATAAACTTTTTGATCTTTTGACTATATAATAGCATTACTTAGGATCTTACTGACTGTCATAATGAAAAAAAAACTTGGTATGAATCTTCTGAGACTATATGTGCCAACCTGGTTTTGAGCTCAACAAAAAGCACACTTGCAGGTATGTTTGTTCCAAATTCTCCCTACGCTTGGGCAAACTGGTTGCTACTTCCATTTCATTCAAAATTACCTACACTGTCGATGAAGTCTGTCATTCTGGTTTCTTAAAAACTCCTGCACAGMATGACCTACCAAGCCACCTTGATCCTGAAGTCTTTCCTGAACAAGTGGAATACAAATTTGGCTTCAATGAAATAAGAATAAAGGGTTTTTTTTTACAAATGTTAGCAGTCTAAATTCTTTTCTTTAGGTACTTGCCTCAGATATGCAGATTCATGGTACTGAAATTGCTCTTCAAAGAACTGTAATTTATTGCTCTAATTGCTCCATAATGATTTAGAAAAAACTGAAAAGCAGGAATGGTTAGAATTAGGCTGCTAAAGCCAAATCACTGTCTTACTGCACTATCTTCTATGGAARCACTTCATACTGACAGTTCAGCAGAGCTCCTCTAACATGCCAGAAAACATCTTTTCTCACATTTTGCCTTTCATCCAAACTTCCCCTGCTCCCCAAKACTAGCAGCAGACCTGAAGGGATGAGCGGATAGTGAAATAACAGGCATACTCTATGACATCATCCATGGTCTGCTCCCCTTCCTCTGTCTCAGCTGAAGTTAGGAGAACCCCAAGTCTCTTCCTGACTGAAAAGATCAGTTACAAGTGCTAACAGAGGCTGAGAGTTTGAAAAGGTTTGGCTTTCAAAGGAATCAAAATACCCAAGTCAAATTTCATGTGCTGAAGGTATTCTTMYGTGAACTAAAGAATRAGGGTCAAATTCTGCTGGTTTTTAAAGAAGTAAAATTGCTGTAATTTGGACGACTTACAAGAACTAGGGGGTTTCTTTTTTTTACATAGTGAAAAAGTGAAGGATAATGAAAGTGAAAAAGCCACACTTTACATTAAAAGAAAAAGCCCTACAACACAAACATTTCAATTAGCTGGGCTAAGTAGGAAGGCAGGTAGCATTTGATCTCCAGATCTGATTAATTCTGAAAATGTCACAGTTTTCAGTTTCACAATCATGGTTACAAAGACTTCCTAAGACAACAGGCAATTTCAAAGTATTAATATACTGGAGCATAACAGCAGTTTGTACCATTCAGTGCACAATGCTTTCAGAAAAACTTTACATTTAGAGCAGAGTTGGCATTCCTGTCTGCAGATAATAATTAGTGTGACATCTGGTATGGAACACAAATAGGAAAGAGTTCTTAAAACATAAGGTAAAATAACAGAGTTCCTTTACTTGCTGAGTCCAACATTACAATAATTTCATTAGCAATGACAAAACAGGACAGACTGATAGAAGACCAATTTATTATCTAAACCACTAATTAAAGCTTAAATGTATCATGTAAAAGCTGGGTTTGAGGGGGGAAGTCAAGTTCCTATAATTAGCTACAGACTATTAGTGCAATTTGCAGTAAGAATAGGAAGGTGYTATTAAATTTTGCTGTATTGTTTTTCCACGTGGCCTTTTTTTTTTCTCAGTATGAAGTAAGGCGATCTATTAATGTTAATTAATATTAACCTATTAATTTGTTACTCCAGTGAAAAACAAAGATATAACTAACTGACTAACTAACTAACTAACTAACTAATGATAGATAGATAGATAGATAGATAGATAGATAGATAGATAGATAGATAGATAGATAGATAGATGATAGATAGATAGATAGATGGATGGATGGATGGATGGATGGATGGATGGATGGATGGATAGATAGATAGATAGATAGATAGATAGATAGATAGATAGATAGATAGATAGATAGATAATTGAGTACATCTGGCCAGTTGCTGCAAGGTTCTGATGTACAACTCATCTCTGATTAGGTTTGTTTATGGGACATTTGTGACTGTTTTGCATCACATATCTTTAATGATCAAAATCTGTGAAATATGATATGAAATTTATCTATTTAGTCTATTTGGCTTGCTGAACAACTTTCCACTAAAAGTCTAGTGTACAAAAGTGACTTTCTGACCACTAATGGAATATCTTAGCAATTTGCATACCTGTCAAGAGCAAACTCAAAGCTCAAAACACATGATCTTGTTCCCGTAAGTACGATTTAGTACAAGGCATATAAATGACCCCATTTTATATGTCAAGCACAAAACCAAGAAAACTTTCCTTTCCCCTTCTGAAAAATTATGAAAATTCCTAGGAAAGAGGGCTGTCAACTACTGTCTGGACAGAAAATGCGGAGTCAAAACARTAAAACATTAAAGAGCTCTGAAAGAAACCTTGCAGTAGTTGCTCTATATTTGTCCAAACCAGGCACTCAGATTTTGGGAGAAAATCTCTGRTAGATAAGAGGTTAAGAAAAGGCACAGTTGCTTTAAAGGCATAAAGAGATGCAGATATGAATGGAAGGTACGAGATGAAAATGTAAAGTGACCTCAATATGTCATGTRCACAAATGAATTAGTCTTTAAATATCTCTCTTCTTAGTCACTATCCACTTCTTATCCACAGAACCTTTTATCTGGTCTTTGCATTATCTGATCAACCTGCTTAGTATATTCTTTGGTGTTTAAAAAGGAGGATTCTTCCTTGTCTTCATGATGCTGATTATGTTTTTAGAAAATGAAGCAATTTGGAGCACTTAGCTTGATCATCCAATACACTGAGCCAGACTCAGGGCTGATGCCACAGGCTTGTTACAACAAAACATGTCTGCTCACCTGAAATCTTTTTAGGCCATTGCTCATATTCTACATCTTAGAATGCAGGAGAATGACATACATTCACAGTTTGTGGTATGTATCTGTTTCATAGAGAAGGACAGACTCAGGGTTGTTTTTATAAACTTTAACTTTCTCAAAGGATCTAGGTTAATATATTTTCTAGGTTTTGCTAAACATGCAGTGGTCTGTGTTGCTCCGAGCAGACGGAAATCTCCATGTCCATCACTGTTTTCACTCCTGCTATGCAGATGTCTGTACCTCACCTGACTGCACAGAACTACAGAGCAAAATTCAAACTGAAAGCAGTGACCAAAGTCACTGTCCTCCCTTTAGAGATTCAAAGAAGTCATTGAGACTCATACAAAGAAATATGAAAAATCAAGAAATGTGAAAGTGCACCTTGGAACATGCCTTAAACACCAACTCTTCTCGGAGGTCTCAGCAAAGAACTCCACCCTTACTTCTACAGCTTTGGTGTGTAAGAACTGCCCAGCACTCAGATAAAAATACCATACCTGCAGCCTTTACTTGCTCTCTTTTGCATGTATGATCTTCAGCTTGCCATATTTCTT